TCGAAGGGTTTTTTGTTTCATAAATATAATGACCTTCGAAATTAAGGTCCCTGTAACTAAGACTTCGACACAAAAGAAAATGCTACGATACGGACGAGATAAAAATCGGCCTTTACTTGTTTTTTTACTTTGTTAGATCCATCGATACGTATGTTCAAGAATTAAAATAATTATATTGAAAATAAAAGTGCAAGTTTATATTTGCCGTTTCTGTGTTTAATAAAATCTAGTAGTTATCCAGACCATTTTGTGCTTTCTAATCTTAAAATGGTTATTTAATTTTATTAGTAAGTATGACCAGACATCGACTCAGTTTGTTTATATATACTGAACGCTGGGAACCCTATAAAACTCAAGTCCTTTTCATCGGAAGTACAATTTATTTTATACAATTTATACATAGACATACATATACATACATAAACTTTATCTAAACACGGGAAAAACCATCAGTATATCAAAACGATTGCTATTTACAAGTTTGTAAGTATAAAAATAAATGCAATGAATGTTTATTTCAAAAGCTGAAAATTGGCGCCAAATTGAGACAAAGTTAAAATCCCATCCGCCAGGATGCCATACAGTTTTCAATTTGAATTTTTAGTGTAAACCACAGGTGTAAACACCTGGTTCGGTGCTTCAAAGCTAGGTTAGTGTTAACCCTGGGTTAAAATTAAACCCGATGTTATTAGAAATTAACAATATACTCGTAACTCGCAGCTGGCAACTCGCACTATAGATAATCTCTGTTCACACATCTTACCACGGTTAATACGTGATCTTACTACGTAACCATGTCAACGGGTTTTGTCTTTGTATAACTGGGCGAAAGTTTTGAACCTTCGGACCACTGTATGTCATTACGCTGTTATATCCCGATGACATGAAGTACATGCATCCTGTTTCATTTCTGCATTCGTTCTCTCTCCTCCGTAGAGGCTTTAATTGGTGCGCTCCTTCGCCCAGCGGCTACGCTCGTGTTCCAAGATCCGCCATGTAAAGTGTAGTGAAATGTATCTCATCGTAATATTAAATCCTAAGAAAACTAAAGCCTCTGCGGAGGAGAGAGGCATTCGTTTATGTCATAGATATAGGAGATCTAGATTGCTAACGCGTATACCTAGCGCAGGCGGGGCCTACATGATAAATCCAAGATGGCGGTACAACAGGGCAAAAAGACTATAGATTCTATTACGAAAATCAGGATTTTTGCATTTTTTGCCGTCGTATTGTTTCGAAATTTATTCGGTCAAATTTTATAGTAAAGAGAAACTTACCGCGAAGATTTTGAGCATATATATGATTGAATTGGATGAAAACTCGCAAAATTATCCATCGATAAAAGTTCGTGTATAGAACTGATATAGTACTATATATGTAACTTGTACAGTTTTGCTTTAATTTTTGCTCACTATTTGCATAAAAAGCAAATTATAACAGACCATAGATGATAGACCCTCATCCAGTGCTCTCATCAGTTTACTTCTCTAACAAGCAAGGGGGGGGGGGTACATAACAGTTCATTTTTCATAATTATGAGGACAGAGCAGATGATGATGAGAGATGCAAGTATAAAACACCATTCACAAGGCTAGATGTTAACATAGCACAGTATTTCTGGCAATAAAACGCTCCAAATGACCAACTGACCATTTCACACGAACTTTTATCGCTGGATAATTTTGCGATTTTTCATCCAATTCAATCATATATATGCTCAAAATCTTCGCGGTAAGTTTCTCTTTACCATAAAATTTGACCGAATAAATTTCGAAACAATGCGACGGCAAAAAATGCAAAAATCCTGATTTTCGTAATAGAATCTATAGTCTTTTTGCCCTGTTGTACCGCCATCTTGGATTTATCATGTAGGCCCCGCCTGCGCTAGGTATGCGTTAGCAATCTAGATCTCCTATATCTATGGTTTATGTAACTGCATGTCATTGGGTTTTGAGTCGTGTCAGCAGTCTCGCGCTTTAAATGAACCACGATGTTCGATATAACTTGACGTTCCAATAGCTCAACCTCGTGTCAATGTCGTGATTTTGGCATGTACTAAAAGGCGAAACGTCCAAACGAAACGACTGGAACGAAACGGCCGAAACCATCGAAACGACCGAAACGAAACGGCCGAAACCATCGGAACGACTGAGACGAACGGCCGAAACCATCGGAACGACTGGGACGAAACGGCCGAAACCACCGCAAATATAAATTACAGGAAAAATGCAAAAATATTAAAATATGAAATGTTTGGAAAATGTTTGGAAATTTTAAGACAATTAG